GGACAGTGGGAACATGACCTGATACATGGAAATGAGAATCCAGATGTTGTCAAACGTGAGCTAAAAGGACTTCCATTCAGCATGCCGTTTTGGGGTACATGACGACTCCCCAGAGCATCGGTCCTCGGCTGTCCCCTGCCTCCGGGGCGTGCCGCTTGGAGAGGGACAGCATGCTGTCCCTCCCCAGACCCCCTCACCGGGTCAGGCAGGCCTCGGCAGCCGAGGGGGAGGTTTTCAGAAAGTCAAGACCACAGACTCATCGGGGGAAACACACCCTTCAAAACGAACCCTTTTTAATTGTTTGTTTTAAGAGAGAGAGAGAGAGAGAGAGAGAGAGAGAGAGAGAGAGAGAGAAGTGCCCCCACCTGCCAAAGAAGGGCTTGTAAATCAATGCTGATGGCTTGGCAATAGATTTCTCAAACTTATCCTCTCCTCCTGCCCTGCTCGGATCTCCGCAGGGAAAATCAATATTACAACTTCACACTTAAGACATTTTTGCAGCAGCAGCAGCAGCAGCAGCAGCGCCCAGGGCCTGAGCCGCCTGCGGAAGCCCATTCCTCGCCATTGCAGCCGAGGCGGCCGGGACATGACACGGGCGCCGAGCGCCCCCTAGCTGCCGCGCGGCGCCACGCGCGGGCTCGGCGCCGCCGGCTTGTCATCCAGCAGAAGCCGATGCAACTGAAAGTTTATTTTGGAAAGTCTCTTATCACAACAAGCAGCAGAGATGGCAAAGCGATGGAGAAGGGAGATGAAAAGGGGGTAAGGGGGACGGCTAGTGCAGGCCGCGTTCTGAGCGAACAGGCAGTGCCGAGAGCCCGATGCTGATAAGGCGCTGGGAGCCGGGAAACGGCTCTCTCCTGCCTGCTCCATCTCCCGGAGACGGAGACTACGTGATGCTAATGACTGCCAAAGGCACCCACAGCGGGCCGCACAGTGGTCAGCAAAGCCTGGCCTCCGCCCCCTCCACCCTCAGCCTTTCTCCCTGCTCCTGAGGCCGGTCCCTCTGCCTTCCCGCCAGCCCGTGAGAAATGGCTCGTTTTCTGTTAAGAAATAGGTTGAAAGGCCAGACAAAAACCACCGAGGCCAGAGCACAGGCAGGTAGCAATCTCTTCCCCTCAAAAAAAAAATAAAAAAATAAAAAAATAAACATGCATCTGTGCATACTCTCTGGGAGGAGACGAGACCCTTTAAAAATATTAGGGGCTGTTAAAACAGGCCCCCGGCTGTTTCCTCTCAGGTGTGAACTGCAAATGAATAAAACCAGCCCGGCATCACACCTTGGGCGAACACATTTTTATTCTCCCGTGGAATCGGAGCAGCTGACTTCTGTCACACGTCTAATGATATGGGGTTTCCTTCTGTGCAGAAGGGAGGCAGGCTTCCCTGCCCCCCTCCAACGACCAAAAATAAAATAAAATAAAATAAAATAAAGAGGGGCCTGGAGCTTGTGCCATGTGCCAGAGGCCCCATTCTGAGAGGTCTGTGGACGACTGGAGACAGACGACAGTACCCTGGGGGGTGAGGGTCCTCGGAGGCACCGCCGCCTCCCGAACACGCAGCTACAGCAAAGCCCGGCGCGGAGGCAGCCACGGAATCCACGCGGCCGAACGTCCGAGTCCGATCTCGGGTCTCCGGTTGTTGCACAAAACCGTGACTTCCCACGGAAATTCGCTCGAAAACCTGTTGGTGGGCTGGTGAGCTCTCACCCTTCCTGGGGTGATGCAATCCGCCACCACCGGCATCTTAGCTTCTCGGAGCACCTCAGCTCCTCGTGGAAGGGTGCCCTGCCCGGCTTCTCACCCTGCCTCTCGCCCCGGGTGCAGGCACCCGGGCTCCAGGCCCTTCCCTCGGCCTGGCCATCCCGGCCGCTCTTCCTCCCCTCGTCACGATGGTCCCTGTGTCTGTTTCGTGTTTGTCTTGAGATGAATAGCTGCTGCGTCCGTCCCCCGGTTTGAAAAGCCATATCCATGTGGGTCGAACGTTTCAAAAACAGCCCAGAAGCCTGGGTTTCTGTCCCCAGCTGTCTCTCGCACGCTTCGTCCCTCCCTCCGTTGTCTCATGGGTCCTGTCTGCACATTGAACTAACCCAGGATGGAGTCCTTCGACTCCCCCCTACCATACCCCCTGACACCCCAAGATTACCCAGGCCATTTCTGGGCTCTTGGAGTCTCCCGGGCCATCAGAGCCAAGGCTGCTGCTCCCCAGGCCGGCGGGCTGCCACCAGCCGAAGCCGCACCACGCTGTAGGTGGCTGCTTTCACATTCCCAGTCTACAATAGGTAGGGGGCCAGGCACCCATTTTGCCAACCAGGGCTCCAGCGCACCCACCGCCCAGCCGGGCCCCCGGCACCGTGGAGGGACACATGCACAGATCGGTGCAGCCTACACAGCACCCAGCTCTGGCCTTTCCCCGGCCTGTGCTCCCACCTCCCATGGCACAGGACAGACAGAAAGCCAGCTGCTTCGGGGTAATAAACAGCCTGTCTGGGAACTGGTTGGACCACTCTCCCCGCTTACACCCTGCCGGTGCTCAGGTCTCCCTGTGCCCTGAGAGGCCGGCAGCATACCCTTTGCCCTCTTGCGGCCTCGTCCCCATCTCCCTTCTCCTCTGCCTCTCCTTTCCCTCTCCCTGCCACGGCTCCAACTCCGCGCTGGCTTTTCCCAGCACGGCTCCGAGCGAGGCTCAGAGAGACTCCGAACAAATGAAACATGGAAGGATGTTGCACCAGGCGCCCCTGGTCCCCCCCTCACCCAGCTGCCACAGATCCTGGCCCGGGCTTCCACCCAGGAATGCCAGAGAGGGAGCGAGCAAAAGCCACGCAGACCTACCTGCTTCTTCCCCCTGACACAACTGCAAACACGCCTGGCTGCTTTTGTGAAGCTGCCAGCTTAGCAATGCACCCCCCACGACTCCCCCTTTCCCAGACACCCCCCCCCCACACAACTTTCCCCTCCTCAAAAACAACTCTTGCAATTATCCAGAAGCTGTGCGGGGCAAATTGCCTCCTGGAGAGACCCGGCAGTCTGCAAGTGCAGACATCCTAGCCGCCACGCCACCCCGTGAAGGTGGGGAGCCAGGGTGAGAAGCGATTGATTATTGATTATCGGTAAAGGGCGCAACGTCCACCGGCCTGAAGGAGGACCTGGGTCCCACCAGGCTCCAATCCGGCTGCCAAACATCTTGTTTTAAATGCAGCCGGGAAGTCCTCCTCCTTGTCAGAATGGTGCAAAATAAAAGAGGCGTCCTCGTCCCTCCTCCCACCCAGGCACCCCCCTCCCGAGGTGAACCCCACTTTGATTATCTATTACCTTCCCCCCCCCCCAAAAAAAATATAAGAATAAATCCACAAATTCTTACGAAGGTATCTGCCGTAACAAAGGAGCGGCGATGGCAGCAGCAACTGCTCCGAGCAGATGGTTCCTGCGCCGGGTGTTCAGGGGAGGGGAGAACCCCTTTATATATATATATATATTTATTTATTTATTTAAATTTTTTAAAATATAACATAAATATTCGGCTCTCCGCTGCCCCGCAGCCAGTCCTCAGCCACGGCGGCCGCTGCAGCTGGGCGCGCAGTGCTCTCCCGGCTCCCTCCACGCGGGCGGCGCGGCCCCAGCCCCGCGAGCGGGCGAGCGAGGCGCCCGGAGGATTTCAGGAACGCAACCTGCCCGCGGCCTCTCTCTCGATGGCACCCAGAGGATGTTTTGTTTCTATTGCAGTATAATTGTGCATGTATATGGAAATGTGTGTATCCACAGCGGCCCAAGCACCGCGAGAGGAAGGACCGCAGGGGAAGGTTCCCGCGCCGCCCAGCAGCGGCTGGCTGGGCCGGGCGCGCTGCAGCCGCGCGGGCACCGGGGAGCTCCGCCGCCAGCCCGGCACCTGGCCCGCCCGCCGGCCCGCGGCCCCGCCGGCCCCGCTCTCCCTCCGCCAGCCCCGCTCCGCGCCGGGAGCCGCTGCAGCCTCTCCGCCCGCCGCCCGCCGCGGGCTCCGGTCCGCCGGGCTGCAGCCCCGGGCTTTGCACTGCGACCTGCCTTGTTTATGTAGACAGAGGAGATGAAAGCTCCTGGCTACAAGGATGGGTAAGAGACGGATAGGTCTCCTTTCCTTCTTTTTTCTTTCTTTCTCTTTCTCTCTCTTTTTTTTTTTTTACTACTAATTTACAAGCACATCCCTCGCTCCCCACTCCTCGCTGACAATCTTTGCGCGCCCCCCCCATCCCCACCACCCCGTGGCGGGATTTTTCATCACCCCCCAAAACGCCCCCACCCCCACTTTGTGTTTTTGGGGGGAGAAGGGGGGAAGAAGGGGAGATCATCCCGGGAGACTGCGGAGGTGGGGAGACGGGGAGGGGGTGCAGGAGCCGGCACACCGCCGCGCAGCTGGATTCTTTTGCAAACAGCGAGAGGAGGGGTGAGGACGGCGGCTCCAGGATCCTCGGACCGGCGTGGCCGGAGCCCTGCCTGCCTGCCTGCCCGCCTGCCCGCCTCGGCGGGGCGCAGCGACCCGGGCCTCCACGGAGCCGGCGGTGGCGGCTGCCCAGCGCCCCGCGTCCCCCCCGGAGCGGCCGGAGCGCGCCCCGCTCCCCTCCGCCCGCGCCGTCCGCGCGGACCCACGCGCTCGCCAACTCTTCCCCGCTCCCCGGCTCCCCCTCCCCCTCCTCCGCTCCCCCAGCCCCCTCCCCCTCCGCTGCAAACCCCGCCGCCAGCGCCGCCGCCGCCACACACGCCGCTCGGAGGGCCGAGCGTCCGGCCCGGCTCCGCGCGCACACCCGCCTCCGGCAGCCCGCGCGCCCCTGCCCGGCCCGGCGCCCGCTCCCAGGCCCCGGCGCCCGGGCTGCGGGAAACTTTCCCGCGGACCCCCGCCCCGCCGCCGCGCTCCGGGCCGCCCGCTGCCTCCGCGGGCCGCCTCGGCGCCCGGCCCGGCCCGGCGGCCCCCGGCGCGGCGTCCCCAGCCGCGGGCGCCCCGAGCCCCGGCCCCCGCGCGCCGCGGACACTTACGGGTGATGAGCTCCCGCTGGGACAAGTGCTGCGGGTTGCCCTGCTTGCGGCGGGACATTGCCCCGGCATCTACTCTGGCATCGCCCGGAGAGCCGCTCGGGGAGGGGAGCCGGGGAGGGTCCGAGCCGCCGCCGCCGCTGCTCCTGCCGCCGCCGCCGCCGCGCCTTCGCCTCGGCCCCGGCCCCGGTCGGTGCTTTTGGTTCTCGTCCCCTGGCTCGCTTGCCCTCTCTCCCTCCTCCGCTTCTTTATGTTGCTCTTTCTTCTAGGCTGCTTGTTGTTTTGTTTGCAAAAGGAAAAGAGAAGGAAAACCTCGATAGGAGAAAGAGGCAAAAAAAAAAAAAAAAAAAAAATGCTGCTGCTGCTGCTGCTGCTTGCCGGGGACGGGCTGGTTTCCTTAAAATATATTCTTCGGAAGGAAAAGAAAATCCGTTGCACTTCTTCACACTGCTCGGCCCGCTGGACTTCCGAGGTCTTCTTCTTGGACTTGACCCGGGGTTTGCACCGGCTCCTGACACTTTCTTTCCAGGGTCTGGTGGGTGGAAAGCGCACTTCTGCCAGGAGCGGGGGCAAGAAAAAAAATGCAAATAAAAAAAAGAAAAAGAAAAGAAGAAAAAGGAAAGAAAACTTGGGGACTTGTCTCGTACCCCCTCACCCCGCCCCCTCAAAAAAAAAAAAAAAAAAGCCAAAGCAACGTAAAACTGCCCGGTTCGGTTCGGCTGTTTCTGGGTTTTCTGCGGGCTGCCTGTTTTGCTTTTTCTTTCCTCTCGGAGGCTGACCCCGGCGCGGATCTGGGGGGACTCCGCGAGCGGCTCCTCTCCCGTCCACCTGGCAGCTGGCGCCGGCCGGGGCTGCGGGGCCCCGCGAGCGCTCCCCGCTCCCCTGGCGCCCGGGCCCGGGGGGCGGCTGCGGGCGGCTGGCCCGGCGCGCCGGGGTCGGTGCGGCGCGGGCCGGGAGCTATAGGTTGCAACGTGAAGATGGCGGAGTCCGGGTTCTCTGGGAGCTCTCGGTCTCTCTGTGGCTGGGGCTGCCTCTGTACAATGGGATAAAATTCAAGTTCAAGTGCGGACGTGACGTTTAATCTGCACTAGAGAGACAAAAAGACCCAGAGAGTCGGAGCACTGGGGGCGACTAGCGGTGGCTTTTTAACATTGTACCCTGCAAGAGAACAAGAAAGCATGCCACGCCACACCACACACACACACACACACACACACACACACTCCTGCCCATGTGCACACCACAGCCACAGCCCAGGCCGGCCACACGTGCAAGCGGCTGTTTGGGTCAGGACCCCCTCCCTTTGTGCCAAGGGAAGAGGAGGGGAGCCGATGGGCAGGAGATTTTTAAATAAAATGTTAAAACCCTCATGCCCCTCCTCCCCTCCAGGGAGCAGGGCCCCCTGAGAAGGGGGCGGAGTGCAGCGAGTGTGCAAGTTGAACCAAGGCCAGTCCCCACGCACGCACCCACCCACCCACCCACCCACCCACAAAAGTTCTTGGAGAGTTGGGGTGGGCCCCGCGGCTGGAGGGGATGGTCAGTTCCTTCGTCTCCCTGTAAAAGAGCCTGCTTGTTTTTACTTTTTTTATTTTATTGGGGGATTGGGGTTAAACTTCCAAAAAGAAAAAAAAAAGGTCTCCGTATAAGTCCTGATGTTTTTGTCCAGCGAAGTGGACAAAATAAGAGAAACTAAGATAAGACAGTGAAGAGCTTACTGGGGGGAGGAGGAACGTGAGACCTTGTTTGAGCCTCATTCTGGAATAGTATTCACACACACATCCCAGTCCGTGTGCTCCCACCACCTCAGCCCCTCTCACTCCTCCCTCCAAGGCCAGGGCCTGTGGGAAGTGTGGGGGCCCCTGGGCGGGGGTGCTCCACGTGGGGCAGGACCTTGTCCATGCTGACCCAGAAGCAGCGGTGGCCGGATCTCCCCAGTTCCCGCCCCCCTCCCCTCTGACAATCCCTGCCACCTGGAGAAAAGCTGCCTCCAACCCCAGGGCCCCTCGCCCAGGCCCAGGGCCGGACCTGAAACCCCCCACACACACACCCCACCCCACCCCCCCCCCCCCCCGGAGCAGACTGGGAAGGACACAGCTGTCTTGATCTCCAGCCGGCGAGGCCAGGGGGGTGGAGGTCAGGGGTTTGACCGTGGCCCTGGAACATCCCCTTCCCAGCCCTGCCCAGGCCGCGGCTGTGGGCATCCCCTTCCCAGCCCTGCCCAGGCCGCGGCTGGCCGCCTGTCTGAGGACCTGCGCCCCCGGGCTGGGCGGGCCACGCGGCCGCAGCGCTCCCCCTTCTCCGGGCTCCTCCGTCCGGGCCAGGAGGCGGCCTGGGCGGGTCGGGGCCTGGCCGGGGCCGGGCTTGGCAGGCTGGCCGCGCTGCACCCACCCCGCCCCGCCCCACCCCGCCCCCAGGCGCGGCCGGGCAGCTCACCGCAGCGCGCGGGGCCCGGCTGGTACGCCTCCGGGCGCGCCGCCTCCCTCGGGGGCTGTCCTTTGGGGGCGCCCCGGTTCGCCCGCTCCCCTCGCCCCCAGGTCTTCGTGGGCGACGGTACCAACCACTGAACCACCGAGCGCAGCTCCCATTGGCGAGGAGAGAACGAGCTCCCTGCCCAAACCACTCAAAAAATAATAATATTAACAATAAAATGTGCCCTGGCATGTAGGTGGTCAGATGGGCTGCAGGGTCGTCGGCCCAGCGGGGGGAGGGGTACGGGGAGGGGTTGAGCCTGCATCCCCACCCCCAGCCCGAGGACTGCGCGCAGCTGCCCCACCACCCGCCGCCCACACCCCACACCCCCCTCCACGTGGTCCGGAGTCTGGGAGCACCGCCCTCCCTCTCCCCGCAGCGAAAACCCTCCCAGAGAGTGGCCTGAGCAAGACGAGATGCCCACACGCGCCTTTCATAAACTTAACAAAACCACGCCCGGCCCCCTCACTGGCCCGGGGTCTTAAATGCGGGGAGTGAGCCCCCTTTCGGGGAGCCGTGGGCGCGGTGAGGTCCCGGGAAGGCGCACGCCTGCCCAAGGTCACAGCGCAGGGGCCGTGCCCGCTGCCCGGGCGCCCGAAATCCCCACCTTCAACCCTCTCCCTCCGGGGCTTGGTTACCAGGAAGGGGACTGGGGCTGGGGGAATGGGGTACACCCCCTCCTTTTTTCAAGAAAGAGGCCCCTGCGGGGACTGCGCGGGGCGCGCAGGGGCCTCCCTGCAGCTGCCACCTCCCGCCGGCGCGCGGGGCCGGAGGTCTGGGGAAGGGGCACCTCCGCCCCACCCCGGCAGGAAGTGGGGGGCGGGGGGCGGCCCGGGCGGCGGCGGACGGAGGAGGCCTCCCCATTGGCCCCGCGCGGCCCGACGGCGGGAAGAGGGACGGACGCGCGGGCGGGCCAGCGCAGGGCTGGACACGCCACCGCCCGCCGGCGCGCCCCACCTCGTCGCGGCCCCGGGAGAGGAGGCGCTGGCCCCTGTGCCCTTCTCCCCCTCCTTCTTCTCCTCCTTCTCCTCCTCCTCCTCCTCCCCCTCCTCCTCCTCCTCCTCCTCCTCCTCTTCCCCCGAGAGGCGGCCGGGTGCAGGCAGCGAGCAATCCCAGCTGCCGCTCCAGTCTCCTTTTTTTCCCTCCGCCCGTCTGGCACGGGCATCATTAGCGCTGAAAGCTGTTAATGTCTGGTCTCACAGCTCCCCCTTTAGTCTTGCTGCGCTCCCTGTCTCGAGTTCCAAGCCGGATCAATAGCCGACCTTGACCTCTCCCTAGACCCCGCCCGCTCCGGCAGCTGGCCTGCTCTAGTATTTCTGCGCTCTCTTGGTGCCCTCGCCAGAGGGTGGCGGGGCTCCGGCTGCCCCTTCCTCAGGAGCCCAGGCGGGCAGAGGCCCCTGGATCCTGTAATCCTGTACCCTTCCGAGGCCACTGCGCGGGCACACACACACACACACACACACACACACACACTCCTTGATCTACCAAGCCTTTGTTTAGAATAAAAGTCCCTCCATCCCAAATAGGGGAGGGGGTTGGGGGGGGGGGCAGGTGCTTCACATATGAAAATATAAAGGAAAAAATATATAAAGGAAAAAGTGCAGGTGCTTACGCAGTCCCAAATAACCACACAACTTCACACCCATTCCTCCAGCGCCTCCCTGCAATGGGCCTACTGTGTGCCGACCGGTGCTGGGGCTTTGTGCAAATTAGAATCAGATGGAAAGAAATGCCACATTTTCTGCACTGTCTTTGAGAGAGAAGGAAAAAAAAAAAAAAAACCAGCAGATGTCAAAAAGCTTTCTGAACTCACAACTCTTTCCCTGCTCTCTGTCTCCTAGCTCTGCGGTGCATTCCAACCCCCATATCCTCAGTCATTTTAGATTTCCTTATAGAGGAATGGTTCAGCCGTCACAGCTCAGATCCATCAAATCGGGGTGCGCTTTCCATGCATCCCGTGCAGGGCTCTGATTCCCTGTGCACGCTGCCTGTGACTGCCCTGCCGTGGCAGGCAGAGGACACAGGCCCGGGACCCTCCCCGGGGCAGAGATTCTTGTTTCCAATTCTTGGAAGGATTCCCATCCTTAACTCTTAGCTGAGGGGGGGGGGGGGGGGGGGGCGGGCTATAGGATTGTCTACAATGTCATCTTCACCTTCTGAGCTGCTATATTTTATATCATGTATTTGCAAAAATTTGTTAAGAATCGGGATGAGGAATGGCCGTGGGAATGGGAACTCCCACCGTTTCTGCAGGAAACCCGTGCCAAGAGGCTGCGAGCGTTTGCGTGTTTACAGGTGGAGGGCCAGTGCCGGAGCGAACCGTCTCCTCTTTCTCGTCCTCGGGATCTATAAACGCTATTGAGCGAGGAGATGAAGAGAAATAAAATGCATCGACCTGATCGGTGGATTGACTTGTTTCCACTTTCGAGGAAACCGCAGCGGAGGTACTGAGCAAATCCTACACGTGCACAGGTTCCTGAGAGGGCCTGTCCTCCCTCCTTACCACGCGAGGATCTCTAGGAGCCAGCAAATCCAGAAGCACAAAAAGACAAAAAGGGGCCGTTTGGGCTTGCTAGCATAGCTTCTAGAATTATCGGACGCCACTTGTGAAAATGACAGCAAATTCCCGGGTGCCACGAGCACGCAAGGAAGGCTTCTCTTGCTGGGTCCCGAAGGGGGCTTTGCAGTCTGTCTGTCACCTTGTACTGAGGCAGGACCACAGCGCTGGCCTTCCCACACCTGGCTGGCTGGGTCCCTGCAGGCACTGAATTTAGCAGCAGCGCCTTAGCTCAAACGCACCACCTGTGTGTACCTCGTTTGTTTCTGTAACTCTAGGGCTGGAGAGGGTGGACTTCTGACTGTTGCTTAACTGTGTAGAGCGTGGGAATGTTCTAGGAAATCTAAGGGGCACCGCTGTTGGCTGTCCGTACAGCTGCAGCCTGCAAGGGGTTAAGTCAAAGTCTCTGTTTCTGATTCATGCCTTATTTTTCTTATGAAAAAAAAAAATCCTTCACCCAGCTCTCCATATATGAAAAAGGCTCACACCCACACGGAATGTTCCCAGCTCTCTGTCCCTGTCATCAGAAATGATATTGAATGGCTCGGTACGAGGGGATCTGGAACTATTTCTACAGCTTTCTCACCTCATTTGGAATTTTCTTGCCTTGCTAATTTTAATTCTTCGGTTGAGTCATCAA